ACCATATTATACCCTATGAAAGCTATTCCATAATTTTAAAAGAATAAACCATTACATCCACACTGTATGCATAGATATAAATGTACAGACTCAAGTTTCATTAAAAACAAGAAGACATGAAAGCTCTAAAGTAATGCAAAAATTCTCTACTAATACACCTTGAAGAAAGGAAATTTATAAAATGCTTGAAAGGGAATACAAAATAAAGATCTTAATGAAACTCAGATACCATAGAATACAGCCAGACAATGCAAAATATTAGGAAACCAATTCATAACCTAAATGAGACATTAAACAAAGAGATAGATATCATATAGAAAAGTCAAATGACAATCCTGGAAGTGAAGAAGTCAACAAATTAAATAAAAATGGACTTGACAGTTTCAATAGACTAGGCCAAACAAAGTAAGAAAAAAAAATCTGCGAAGACAGGTCTTTTGGTATAACACAGTGAGATCAGTAAAAAAGAAAGGATAAGGGAATAAAAAGAATACAGAAATTCTACATGACATATGTGACACCATTAAGTGCAAAAATGTTTACATTATTTTATGTTCCAAAATGTGAAGAGATGAGAAAATACATAGAAAATCTATTTAATGAAATAATAGCTAAGAACTTAAGTCTTGAGAAAGAAATAGAGATCCAGATCCAGAAAGCTCAAATAAATCCAAAAATTTCAACCCAGAAAGTCATCTCTCAGGCACATTGAAGTCAAACTGCCAAACCTCAAATACAAAAAGAGAATTTTATAAAAATAGCAAAGTGTTAAGTCACATAATAGAAAATGCATATCAGCCTAACAGCAGATTTCTCAGCATAAACTTTATAAGCCAGAAGAGAATGGGCTGATATATTCAACATCCTGGGGGTGGGGAAGGGTGTAGGAAACACCTGTCAGCCAAAAATACCATGTGCAGAAAGCTATGCCTCATAAATGAAGAGAAAAAAAGATTTTCTGATACAAGCAAAAATGGAGAGATCTCACTGCCACTAGGCTAGCTCTAAAAGAGCCTCCATGTCTGGTAGCAAAAGGATGATATCTACTATAATGAAAACAAATAAAAATATAAAACTCACTGGTAAAGCAGATACACAAATAAGAAAAAGAAAGGACTCAAACACTATCAACTGCAGAGAGAAACCAAATTAAAAAATTAGAAAGAAATGAAAAAAGAAACAAAAGATATACATGGAGAGAGAGAGAGAGAGCGAGCGAGAGAGAGAGAAAGCGAGAAAGCATTAGAGTAAATAGCTAATGCAGGTGAAGCTTAATACCTAGGTGACAGATTGATAGATGCGGCAAACCACAATGTCTGAAGTTTACCTGTGTAACAAACCTACACATCCTGCCCATGTACCCTGGGTCTAAAAATAAAATTAATTTAAAAAAAGTAGAACAAAATAAAAAGAAAGAAAGAAGGAAGGAACAAAGGAAGGCAGGAAGGGAGGGAGGGAGGGAAGGAAGGAAGGAAGGATGGAAGGAAGGATGGACAGATGGAAGGAAGGAAGGAAGGAAAGAAGGAAAGAGAAAGAAAGAGAGAGAGAAAGAGAAAGAAAGAAAGAAAGAAAGAAAGAAAGAAAGAAAGAAAGAAAGAGAAAGAAAGAAAGAAAGAAAGAAAGAAAGAAAGAAAGAAAGAAAGAAAGAAAGAAAGAAAGAGAAAGAAAGAAAGAGAAAGAGAGGAAAATAAAAAAAGAAAAGGAAAGAAAAGAAAAGAAAAGAAAGGAAAACTGGGAGGGAGGGAGGAAGGAAGGATGGACAGATGGAAGGAAGGAAGCAAGGAAGGAAGGAAGGAGAACTAACAATATGATAGGCATGAGTCCCACCTATCAATAACAACCTTGAGTAAAAATGGTTTAAATTCTCCAATTAAAAGATATTTACTGAATCAATAAAAAAAAAAAGACCCAACTATATTCTGCCTACAAGCCACTCACTTCATCTATAAAAACAATCATAGAGAGAAGAGATGGAACATGATACTTTACATAAATATAAACTAAAAGTGTATAAAAATAGCTATACTTATATCTGACAAAATAGACTTTAATTAAAAATGAAATATGAGACAAAAAAGTTCATTATATAATCAGAAAATAATGAACTCACCAAGAGGATATAACAATTACAAATATATATGTACCTAACACCAGGGAATCTAGGCATAAAGCAAATATTATTAGGGCTAACAAGAAAGATCAAACTGAATAATTTTTTTTTTTTTTTTTTTTTGAGACAGAGTCTTGCTCTGTCACTCAGACTGGAGTGCAGTGGCATGATATAGGCTCACTGCAAACTCCACCTCCCAGGTCCAGGTGATTCTTCTGCCTCGGCCTCCTGAGAAGTTGGGATTATAGGCGCCGGCCACCATGCTCAGCTATTTTTTTTCTTTTCTTTTTTTTTTTTTTTTTTTTTTTTTTTGTATTTTCAGTAGAGACAGGGTTTCACCATGTTGGCCAGACTGGTCTTGAACTCCTGACTCAGGTGATCTGCCCGCCTTGGTCTCCCAAAGTGCTGGGATTACAGGAGTAAGCCACTGTGCCCAGCCCCAGTAAAATATTAATGGGAGAATTCAATCTCCCACTTTTAGCATTGGAGAGATCATCTCAACAGAAAATCAACAAAGAAACATAGGTCTTAAACTGAACTATAGATCAAATAGACCTAACAGATATTCACAGAACATGCCATCCAACATCTACAAAATGCATATTCTTCTCATCAGTACATAGAACATTTTGCAGGAGATACCATATGTTAGTCCACACAAGTCTCAAAAAATTTTAAAAATCAAAATCATATCAAGTCTCTTCTCAGAACACTATGGAATAAAACAAGAAATCAGCAACAAGAGGAATTTTTAAACTCTACAGATACAGAGAAATGAAACAGCATGCTCCAAAGCAACCAGTGAGCCAATGAAAAAATTAAGAAGAAAATTTAAAAAAAAAAAAAACTTATTGAGACAAATGAAAATAGAAACGCAGCATACCACAACTGATGGAAAACAGGAACCACAAAATATTCCAAAATGCTAAAGCAATTTTGAGTGAAAAGAACAAGGCTGAAGGCATTACACAACCTGGCTTCAAAATACACTACAAAGCTGTAGTAACTACAATGACATGGCATTGGTATAAAAACAGAAATAGACCAATTAAAAAGAATAGAGAACCTAGAAATAAATTCACATATTTATAACCTACTGATTTTTGACAAAGTTTCCAGGAATATACATTTGGAAAGGACAGTTTCTTCAATACATGGTGCTGGGAGAACTGGATATCTATGTGTAGAAGAATGAAACTAGACCCCTATCTCTCACCATGTACAAAAATCAACTTAAAATGGATTAAAGGCTTAAATTCAAGACCCAAAACTGTTCAACAACTAGAATAAAACATAGGAAAAATACTTCAGAACATTGATGTAGGAAAATATTTTATAGATAAGACTACAAAAGGACAGGCAAAAAAAAAAAACAGACAAATGGAAATATATCAAACTAACAAGCATCTCTCCAGCAAAGGTAACACTCAACAGAATGAAAAGACAACCTATAGAATGAGACCTATATTTGCAAAGTGTTCATTTGACAAAGGACTAATGTTGGGAATATACAAGTGACTCAAACAACTCAAGAGCAAATAATAATAACATTCCCATGAAAAATGGGCAAGCAATCTGAATAGATGTTTCTGAAAAGAAGATATACAAATGGCCAATGAGTATATAAAAAAAAAAAGTCCAACATCTCTAATCATCAGAAAAATGCAAATCAAAACCACAATGGACTATCATGTTATCCCAGTTAGAATGGCTATTATCAAAAAGACAAGGCTGGGTGCGGCACCTCACCCCTGTAATCCTAGCAATTTGGGAGGCCAAGGTGGGCAGATCACCTGAGGTCAGGAGTTGGAGACCAGTCTGACCAACATGGAGAAACCCTGCTTCTACTAAATATATATAATTAGCCAGGTGTGGTGGCACATGCCTGTAATCCCAGCTGCTCGGGAGGCTGAGGCAGGAGAATTGCTTGAACCTGGGAGGTGGAGGTTGCTGTGAGCTGATATCGCACCATTGCACTCCAGCCTGGGCAATAAGAGCAAAACTCCATCTCAAAAAAAAAAAAAAAAAAAAGACAAAAAGAACAAGTGCTGCCAAGCACATGGGGAAAGGGGAGCTCTTACATACCGTTAGTGAAAATAAAAATTATTTCAGCCATTATGAAAAACAGTATGAAATTTTCTCAAACAAAAAAGCACAAAAATAATTATTATTTGATCCAGCGATTTCACTACTGAGTATTCATCCAAAGAAAAAAAAAATCAGTATATCAAAAACATGTGTAGATATCTGCACCCAAGTTTATTGCAGCACTTTTGCAATGGCCAAGATGTGGAATCAACCTAAATGTCCATCAACTGATGAATGGGTAAAGAAAATGTGGTATATATTCACAGTAGAATACTATTCAGCCATATAAAAGAATAAAACTCTGTTATTTGCAGCAACATGGATGAGCTGAGAGGACATTATGCTAAGTGAAATAAATCAAATAAAGAAAGATAAATACTGCATGTTCTCACTCATATGTGAGAGCTCAAACAAACTGATTTCATGGAAGTAGAAATTAAAATTACAGTTACTAGACACTGGGAACTGTAGGGAGATGGGAGAGGATAGGGAGAAGTTAATTAGGGATACAAAATTACAGCTATGGGAGGAATAAGTTCTACTGTTCTGCAGCACTGTAGGGTGAATATGATTAACAGTAATTTATGGCATGTGTACAAATAGCAAGAAAAGAGGATTTTGAAGGTTACGAAAAGAAATGATTTAGGCTGGATATGACAGCTATACTAATTACCCTGATTTGATCATTACACATTGCATACATTTATCAAAATAATCTGTTGCACATAAATATGTACAATTATTTTGTATCCAATAAAAATAAAAAAGAATGAATGATAACGGCAGGATGCCTGGAAATTACCTGAATATTATTTTGCAATTGTTCAAGCTGTTTGGACAAATCCCATGAGGAAGCTGAAAAGAATATGGTATGTTTTTAATTGATTCTGTTTATTCTCACATTATTAAAGACTGAACAGTCTGTCAGGTTTTGTTTGTTACCTTTAAATTTCTAAATTCAATGTCCCCACGTTTCTCATCACATGTAAATGCTAGTTGGTTAAATATTGCCTAAGCCTGTGTGTACCTGACAAGGATTAAAGAAAGTTTTCAGCAGAAAATAAAGCATGAGAGTCAGTTGGAAAAAGAAAATACTACAAATAAAATAAAATTGGTGACTAAATTGTTATATTACTCAAAAATACTTATTTCTGGTCTATATTATATCTGCTTCTTTGTGCAGCATAGAAGCTGTTGAATTTTTTTTTCCAATAATTTGCTACAACACTCCATGACAAAAGAGGACAAATCTTTCTATCTGTTCTTCTACGTCTCCATTTGTAATCAATTCATACATTTATATTTCCTCAAAGTGACAATAAAGCTGCCCCTTTAATGGACAAAATGAGTAACAAGGAAGGGGAACATTTAGATTTCAGTTTTCTCTATAGGGTTAATACACATAGTCTAAATCTGCTTAAATTTTATACCTTAGAGCAGCCTTTTCTCAAAGCTTGATTGTACATTGTGATAATGGAAAACACAAAATGATATTTTTGTCCAAACCTAGCTGTAAAAATCCTGATTTAATTAGTCTGGGAGTATGGCACAGAATTTAGAAAAAAAAAAAAAAAAAAGATATTTTAGGCTGGGCGCAGTGGCTCACACCTGTAATCCCAGCACTTTGGGAGGCCGAGGCAGGCAGATCACGAGGTCAGGACATCAAGACCATCCTGGCTAACATGGTAAAACCCCGTCTCTACTAAAAAATACAAAAAAAAAAAAATTAGCCGGGCGTGGTGGCAGCCGCCTGTAGTCCCAGCTACTGGGGAGGCTAAGGAAGGAGAATGGCGTGAACCCGGGAGGTGGAGGTTGCAGTGAGCCAAGATGGCGCCACTGCAAACCAGCCTGGGAGATAGAGCCAGACTCCCTCTCAGGAAAAAAAAAAAAAAAAAAAAAAAAAAAAAAGATATTTTAAAATCTCTATAACTTTGAAGCTTCCCAAATGTTCTAATAGCAGCCATGTTTAGGAATCACCAATCAAGTATGTTTACATCAGTCAAGATCCTGATGAAAATAGGTGAAATATTTAAAGGGTTAATAGAAAAGCTCTTTTTTAAATAAAGTAGTGGGCAGTGTTCAGAGAATCAAAAATGTTAGAATCAACAACATTAGGAAATTGTTAGTTCCCCAGGTGTAAGGTAAAAGGAGTGAGTGGCATTAATAAAACCCGCCAAGCACTGTAGCCACGGAAAAGGGGCTTCTGAGAAGGAACCTTGGCCACACGTAAAAAGAAACAAACAAACAAAAATATCCAGCCACATCAAAAAGTAAGGTGCTGTGGATAGGCAATACTTGGGTCCTTCTAATCTCTCTGTAAGCCACAAAAAACATTTAATAAATGTCTTTCAAATTAAACTAGCCCAAGACTATTTTATTTCACGCAACATGAAATTGTTTCAATACAGTAACTGAGTACTGTGTTAGTCTGTTTTCACACTACTATAAAGAAATACCCGAGACTGGGTAATTTATAAAGGAAAGAAGTTTAATTGACTCACAGTTCCATATGGATGGGGAGGCCTCAGGAATTATGGTGGAAGATGAAGGGGAAGCCGGCACCTTCCTCACAAGTCAGCAAGGGAGAGAGAAAGAGAGAGGGATCGAAGGGGACAAGTCTCTTATAAAACCATCAGGTCTCATGAGAACTCACTCCTATCACAAGAAGAGCAAGGGGGAAATCTGTCCCCATGATCCAATCACCTCCTACCAGGTCCCTCCCTGGACACCTGGGGACAGCAATTTAGATTACAATTTCAGATAAGATTTGGGTAGGGACACAACCAAACCATATCAAGTAGTCACAGGCAATGGAGTTTCAAAGAGATGCAAATGTGGAATTTGTTATATCTTATTTTAGACTCAAAGGCCTATGAAGCTATGTCAGCAGCATAGGCAGGACTACTGGCTAGTCCGAAGTAAGCAGTGGAGAATCCATCATTTACATTGTGACCTGTGGATTATTTGGAACACAGCTGCTCTTGAAAGCAAGATTGGAAAACGGAGGGAGAATTCTAATAAGTAATCATGATAATAATGAGCTACAGGGCTGCCTATTTCTAACTGTACTGAAGTTAGAAGAAAGAATATGGTAAGTTCAGTGTTATAGAGGCTCAACTCAGGTGGGTAAAAATGATCAGGGAGCTTCAGGGCTGCAACCATATCTCTTAGCTCTGAAAGCTGATACAACTACAGAAACAGAGTGATCATATGAGTAGCTGAATGACATATAGACAGAATTCACAACTGTGCCAGAAATTATATATGAAATTATAAGCAATGACTAGAAAACCATGAGCATTCAGTAATTACAAGTGTTAATTTAGGTGAATTTAGATGTTGAAATATCTCTTGCAACCAAACACAGTCCCTGTATTACTATCTGAAAAGGCTAAGGAGTCTTTCCTGCTTTGTCTGAGCTAGAAGCTTTGTGAATGTCTGATTCTACCTCTGAAACACTATTTGCCTCATGACTTTTGTAACTATTACTTAGTATAAAGACCTCAAATGCAGCTGCAGGGAAAGGGCTAAGCACAACATTCAATCTGGGAGGAAATAGCTTAATATTGAAACAATATCACAGTTTACAACTATATATCTGCCAGAATGTAATATCTTGTACATGTTTTCATGAGCTGTAAAGTAAATAAGAAACACTTGATAGGTAAAGAACCAAGTGAAAATACAAACCAAAGAATTTAAGATGTATTGAAGCTGGCTTTCACTTTGAAGGCTCTTTGAAATCCTTTGTTAATTGATAATCACTTTTCATAATCTCTTTGATTTTAAGAATGAAATATACAATTCAAAGTCCACCTAAGACTGTGAGCTTAATAACTATCCCCCCATTCAAACTTAGACAACCAAAGTTCTAAAGGTTTATTAAAAGAGAAATTATAAATATATAAAATCTTGTTACTTTCTTCGTAATTTTCCAGACTACATGGAGTTTCTCTTGTCTCAAAATTTAGTGCTGAATGAGTGTGAAGTGAAGGTTCTATTGAAAATCAATAGCCATAGCAAATCCAAATGTAGATTTCAGCCCAAAATTACAATTACAATATCTCTGTGTCTTAGTCAGTTTAGGCTGCTGTAACAAAAATACCATAAACTGGGTGACTTAAACATCAAAAATTTGTTACAGTCTATGTTTGGGTTCTGGTGAGGGCATTCTTCCCAATTTGAAGATGATCAACTTTTTTTTTTTTCTTTTTTTTTTTTTTTGAGACAGAGTTTCACTCTTGTTGCCTAGGCTGGAGTGCAAAGATACGATCTCAGCTCACTACAACCTCCGCTTCCTGGATTCAAGTGATTCTGCTGCCTCAGCCTCCAGAGTAGCTGGTATTATAGGCATGCACCAGCACGCCTGGTTAACTTTGTATTTTTACTAGAGACAGGGTTTCTCCATGTTTGTCGTGCTGGTCTCAAACTCCTGAACTCAGGTGATCCCACCACCTAGGCCTCTGAAAGTGCTGGGATTACAGGCATGAGCCACTGAGCCGGGCCCATCTTCTTGTGTCCTCACATGGCAGAGAGCAGAGAGAGAGGAAGCAAGCTCTCTCCTTTCTCTTCTTATAAGAACAACTAATTCCATTCATGAATGCTTCATCCTTATGACCTGATTTCTTCCCAAAGGCCACACCTCCTAATATTGCCACACTGAGAATTAGAATTTCAATATGTAAATTTTGGAGGGGTATACAAACATTAAGTTTCCAACACTGTTCTTTCAAGAAAACCTCAATTCATAAATTTAAATTTATATTAAAGTATTTGAAAGAATGTGGGTCAGACATTTTGTAAAATGACGTGAGATTCCTCACCAGAGGAATCTTCCCTCATTTGAGATATTATTTCTACCAACTAAGATCCTCCGAAAATCAGTGGATCAGAGTTAAAAGTGAATAATCATACAAGGAATAAAAAGCATCATAAGAGAGAACTAACTCCAGGATCTATCATATGGTAAGAATATAAATGTTTATTGAATGAAGTAGACATATCCACAATCATCAGAAGATGTTTTCATACTCATTGTAATTGCTTTAGAAATGAATTGTAACAAATTTTATAACTGATTTGTAAATGAATGCCAAAAATAGCACTAGGTATTACAACTTGCAGGATGCAGATGAAGGATTATGTATAGGAAGATGTATGCCCTCAAATTCTCACATTATAAAAGACAGGCACAAGATAATTACTGAATATAAGTTTAAAAGTTCAAATGCTTAATTCAGAATATATTCAAAAAAGTAGGAATAAAATATATGTAGTGATAAATATTAATTAAAAATTTCATTATTTAATAAAAAGTGGGCAAACCACTGCCAAAACTTTACCAAACCCTTATATAGGCAAACCCTGACAAAATGATAAAGGAAACAAAGAGAGAAGGTACGCTTACAATTTGGGGGAATAAAAAAGAGAACATAACCATAGATGCTACCAAATTTGTATTTAAAGGTACGTATTATAAGTAACTATAGTCAATACATTTGAAAATATAAATCAAGTGCATAGTGAAATTATTATAAAATTACAAATTAACCAACTGGCTAAAGAAGAATTACAGAACCTGAACAAGCTTATAATAATTAAACAAATAGAATCAGTAGTTAAAAACTCTTCACCAAGAAAATATAGGGTTCCCAGAAGATTTACAGAAATATTCTTTTAAACATTTAAAGAATAAATAATTACATTTGTACACAAGCTCTTCTGCAGTATAAACAACCATGTAAAACATCCTACCTTCCTTCTCAAGATATTTTATGATGTTAGCTTGCCTGATAACAAAACCATCGAAGACATTATAGGAAAAAACATTCAAAACTAAATTTGCTAATAAACACAGATGTTAAAGTCATGAACAAATTTTTAAACCAAATCTAGCTCTATATATACATATATACAAAAAATATATC